GCCCAGCTACCTCAGAAGAGGAGCCTGGTCTTACGAGAAACGAAGGCCTGTTCCTGATAGTTGTACGATTTCACGTTGGGTCTGACGTGGCCTCCCGGCTCGGCGCTCAGCCCGTGCGCCCCCATCACTCTTCAGACTCTGCCATCTACTTGGCGTCACAGCAGGAAGGCCTTCCTCTGAGGGGACTCGTTTGTGTGCAGGCTGCGTGCTGGTCAAGTCTGTGCTGGCCTCCAGCACCTGCAACCAGTATTTCTCCAGTACGTTCTCTCAGCCCGTGCTACGTGCCGGGGCGTTGAGAAGAAATAAAGGTGTAAGACAATCTCTGCCCTTAAAGGGCGCAGTGGGCCAGGTGGACTGCCTGCAGGCCGCCGGCTGGCAAGCGTTGGACCGCTCCCAGCCCCAGGGCGGGCCGCAGGCTGTGGGGAGGCCGCTGGCTGCGGCGTTGGTCAGGGCAGGAACGCGGGTCGAGTGTGCTTGGGCCGCCCGGGGGTGGGGGTGGGCAGCAGCACACTGGCGCAGACGGACCTTGTCCCTCGTGGTGGCCGAGTGGGAGTGCGCTGCAGCCCCTGCTGGACGTGAGAGGTGGGGCTCGCCTCTGGTCCCCTCCAGCGTGTATACTCGGCACCTGTCGATTTCGGGTCCCCATCCGGGCCTCTGCAACCCTTTCCGAGGCATCTGGCAAGGGGCCGGTGGGAATGCCTGTGCGAGAGAGGGCTGGCTGCGGTTCCCGCGGAGGCGGTTCTTGTTCTGAAATCCATCCAAGCTTCCAGAGTGGGTGAACTAACGTCCTGGAATAAATGTGGTTTTACAGACTCAAAGCATAGCACTCCCCGAAGGCAGCCGGCTGGCGTGGGCTTGCTTTGAGCTGAGCCTCCTGTCTCCCGGCACAGGCTGCTACGGGCACCGGGCCGAGGACGGGACCGTCAGCTGCATCCGCTGCAGGAACGGAACTCACAACAGCTCCGAGTGCAGAGGCTGTATGTCCCCCCGCCCCTCCCCCTGCCTGCTGCTCACCAAGGGTCCACACCTCCATGTTCTGGAGGAAAGGGTGGGAGTTCTCTCTGTTGTCCCCACACCTGGGCCACTGTCCCTCGTGGACACCTCCCAGGAGCCCTCTCCCCGAGTCCTCTTGCCCCCCAGGACAGCTGTGGGCTGGGGGCTGCTCTGCCCCCACGGCCACCTCCCTGTCTCATTTCCGGCCCATTTGGGCTGCATCTCTGGCTCCCCAGGGGTCCTCCGCGGGGCCCCCGTGCCTGGTCCAGGACCTCACGTGGGTCTGGGCGGCCTATGGAGCCAGCCGCACTGACTGCTCTGCTTCCCCACAGTCGTTGCCCGGGGCACGCACTTCCCCATGAACAGGAGCACGGGGATGCCTGGGCGGCCGAGTTTTGGTAAGTCTCTCGGCTCACTGGACCAGTCCTGGGGGGACACGGGGGCACCATCGGAGCCATTCCCAGCGCAGACCCAATCACCGATGCTGGCCACGGCAGGGCCACGTCCGCAGTCAAGGGCAGGCTCCACCCCAGCCAAGAGCTCTGTACCAGGACCCAGCCCTGGTCACGGAGCAGGACCCCGGACGGTATGGAAGCTCAGCCGGCTTTGAAGTCAGGGTCTGGGGTTGATTTTAAAAAGGTGGGTGCTGGGCTTCCCTGGTGGCGCAGTGGTTGAGAGTCCACCTGCCGATGCAGGGGACGCGGGTTCGTGCCCCGGTCTGGGAAGATCCCACGTGCCGCGGAGCGGCTAGGCCCGTGAGCCATGGCCGCTGAGCCTGCGCATCCGGAGCCTGTGCTCCGCAACGGGAGAGGCCACGGCAGTGAGAGGCCCGGGTACCGCAAAATAAATAAATAAATTAATTAATTAATTAAAGGGTGGGTGCGGCTGGGGTCGCTTGGCGTGGACCCCCACGTGCCTCTGAACGGGCTGCACGTCTTAACCCTTTGCCTGGCTCAGAGGCCCCCCGGCTCCTTGGTCCCTGGGAGCTCAGGATGTGCAGTTCTCCAAGGTGGGAGGGCATCTGAAGTCCCCTTGCATCGTCCCCGGTGGCTCTTCTAGGACATAGGTCTTGGAGGGGACTGAGACGCTGCAGGCAGGCAGACATGCCCTCCACACCACCTGGTCCTCAGGTGCAGACACGGGAGACACCCTGGTCCCCCGCCTGTTCCTGCTGCGAGGCGTCCTGTCGTACCTGAGAGGCTGGCCGAGCCACAGGGAGTGGCCAGGCTGCGGGGGTGTGGTGCCCAGGCCACCAGTGACCACTGCAGTCACGGTGCGGGACCTGCCTCAGGGTGTAGCCACCTCTTCTGAGGTGACGGTTGTGATGGGGGTCATGACCCCCCAGACCCTGGTCCTTCAGCAGAGGACACGTTGACAAGGACCAATGGCTCAGGCCTTCCCTGCGAGTCTCAGGACCGGAAGCAAGTGGCCTTGTGCTGGCGTGGGCCAACCAGCAGTGTTTGGGGCAGGGTGGGCCCAGACAGCCCCAGCTTCTTGCGATGTGGGCCTGGGCCTTGCAGCAGAGGGTGGCAGATGAGGCCCCTGCAGTCCAGTGTTGAGCCCGCTTCCAGTTGGCAAGTTTGGGGCGGTGTAGCTGGAACCCGTCCCTCCTGAGGCTCTAGCGTGGCCGGCCTTGTGCCTGTGTGTCAGGGTCAGAAAGGCGCTTCCCACGGGCACCTAAACGCAGAGCCTCCAGCTTGGCATCCGCCCGCCGGCCCGCCTGAACCTGTGGAGATGAAGATGGCAGGCGTCCTGGTGCTGGGAGGGCCAGCCCCGGGTGACAGCTGGCCAGCTCCAGAGAGGCGAGGTGGGGTGTATCCACGCGCCAGGGCCACGGGGGCCCGAGTCTGCACTGAGCGTCAAGGGAGGAGATGGGGGGCTCGGGGGCCAGGATCACTAAATGTCTTGACGGCCCACGCCCCCGAGAACCTGAGGCCTGGGCAGTTCGAGTGCAGGGGGGACCCACAGCCCTGTGTGTGAACCCCTCGGCCCCTGCGGGAGCCCAGGTGTGCACCCCTGGCAGCCCTCACCTCGCTTGCAGGGGGCCCCCCGGTGGCAGCCTCCCTCTTCCTGGGGACGTTCCTCATCAGCTCGGGCCTCATCCTCTCCGTGGCCGCATTCTTCTATCTCAAGCGCGCCAGTAAGCTGCCCGGCGTCTCCTATGGGAGAAACAAAGGTACCCCTCCCGCCGGGGTGTGCCCGGGGGCACGGAGCGGGGCTGGGGCCGAGACGCAGGTGTCCGGTGCGAGGCCGCATCTGCGGCACCCTGGAGGGGACTGGGTTGTCACGTGGCTCTCGGGCCTGAGGATAAGAGGGGCGGTCACGTCCTGGGAGTGCTCTGGGTGGATGACGTGGGGTCTCAGTGTGGAGGGTGACGGGGGCAGACACTCTGCAGGCCGGCTTGTCTGCTCTGGCGGGAAGCTGGCAGTGGGGGCGGCTAGCCCCAGAGCACTGGCGGGACACCACCGGAGTGTGGTGGGAGATGGGGCCGGGCAGGCTGAGGGCACCGCTGGGCACAGGAGTGAGGGACTGGAGTGAGCCTGGAGCCGGGGACCCTCTGCAGGCTTGTGGAACCCCCAGGCTGATGGACCCCCACCTCAGGCCTGTGGACCCCTGCCCAAGCTGAGGGCCCCCACAGGCTGAGGCAGCTGTGTGGCCTCCAGGTGACACCTGTGCTCTCCCCTACAGCCCCCAGCCTGCAACCTGGTGAAGCTGTAAGTACCTGATAGGCGGGCTGAGGCCCCGTGTGTGTGTGTGCCTGGGTGTCTGTGTGTCTGGGCTGGGGGCCATCCGGTCTGCAGTTCTCACTGTGCCTTTTCCCCTTTTCAAGGCCGCGATGATTCCCCCACCTCCGTCCTCAGGTGCGTCAGTGCTTTCCTGTCCCTTGCCCTGTCAGGATGCCTCGTCTCTGGTGGGAATTTCAAAGCGCCAGGCCCATTGCCGCTGCAGGGGTGCCGGCCTAGCCCCCCTTCATCAACCACAGCTTTCGTGCCTTTTCCCCTTTATTCCTGAGATGCTGTGTCTGTCGAGGGGGGCGGGGTGTTCCCAACACGGGTCAGGGGTCAGCCCTGCCGCCCTCAGCCCTCCACCAGGTCCCAGCTCTGCCTGAGCAGGGAGCCAGTGGCCGGCACGGGGCCCTCCCGTGGTCCCTCCTGAGCAGTAGCTGTGTTACAGTTGACCCTGTGAGCACAGAGATCACATCACACAGGCCACCTGCCTCTTCCCCAGACCGTGTTCCTGCCACCGTGTGGAGGTCTGGAGTGGGGACAGGTGAGGACATCCTCCTCCTTGGGGACAGAGAAGTCCCTCGGTCAAGGCGAGATCTGCCCTGTCCAGTGAGACACTTGTCTGATCTCTCCAAAGCGGCGCCATGTCCAAGCACAAGGTGCCTGCGTCAGTCTCCTGGGGCGGCCGTAACAAAGTATGCAACCCGGGGGCTCGGGAGAACAGAAGTGTCTTCTCTGATGGTTCTGGAGGCCACCTGCTCCCTCCGGAGGCTCTGGGGTGGGTCCTTCCTGCCTCTCCCAGCCTCTGGGGCTCCAGGCGTCCCTGGGCTTTTGGGGCCGCGAACCTCCAGCCGCTGCTGCATCTTCAGCTGGCTTCTCCCCTCTGTGTCTCCCTCCCTCTCACGAGGCCACTGGTCGCTGGATTTAGGGCCCATCAGATAATCACATCTGCAGAGACCATTTTTCCAAGTAAGGTTGCACCCGCAGGTTCTGGGCCTTAGGGCGTGGACACGCGTTTGTAGTGGGGGGGGATACCATCCACCCTGCAGTGCATTACATGACCTGTGCCTTTGTGTTCTGGGAGAGCTGGGCCCTCTCCCAGGCCGAGGGGCGCCAGGTGTCCGGGAGCTGGAGCCCGGTGGGCTTCCTCCCTGGTGGCTGCTCTAGCCCCACTCCCGTGAGCCCCAGGGAGGCCCGCGACCCCAGGCCCTCTCTGCCGCCCCAGGCCCCGCTCTGATCCCGCCTGTCTCTGACCCCGTTTCAGTGCGGAAGCCACGCTACGTCCGGCGCGAGCGGCCCTCGGACAGGGATGTGGGCCCCACTGCCGTCTCCTCCGTGGAGGCCCGGGTGAGCAACGTCTGATCCCGCGGCCCATCCACAGCCCCGCGTGCTGCTGAGGGGGGGCCCACACGAAGGCTGGGCGCTGCCCAGTGAGGCCTCAGGACAGGCCTGCACACGGTCCTGGCTCGCCCCTCTCCAGCCACAGATGTGGAGCGAGAGCCGCCTGCCCGCGGGCCTTCCTCAGCACACACAGCCGCTCAGCGTGACTGACCCGGGGCAGCACTCCAGCCTCTGGCCCTGAGCCGGGCCGGGGAGCCAGGCCGTGTGGGATCCAGGCTCCTCGGGAGAGACAACCTGCAGGACCCGGGTGCCCCTCCGCCTTGGAGCCCACGGTGGGCAAACCCCCTGCACCCCCTCTGAGAGCAGTGAGGCCGAGGCCTTCGGGGGTTCCGGCCGCATCCACACACAGGCAGTTTGGGGCCTGCAAACCGGCCCCTGGGCTCAGGCGCCCACAGGGCTGTCCTGCACGGCCACAGCTGCCCACTTCCAGTCGCCGCGGGAGTGAGTCGCCTGGCCTCCTGCTGACTCTTACCCGTGCTTAAGCAGAAAGCACTTTGCATAGAAGTCCAAGAGGCACGCTGCCCTCGTCTGCACCCCGCCTGGGCCCCAGGCACTGGAGGTCCTCATCCACCTTGGGACGGACACTGGCCCGAAGCTGCTGGAGGTCGAGACCCCCCAGGGATGTGTCAACCCGGGGCCACGTTTACCTGTGACTGCCGCCTGGACTGGCTGTCTCGCTGGACCTGCTGAGGGCCGCCCTGGCCGGCAGTCCCGTCCCGCTGCCCCCGCCCCGAGGCAGCAGCCCGTGTTCCCTGCCTCGGCCAGTTGCGGAGGGACGGCTCTGGGTTCCTGTGGAAATGGGGGAGCGTCGGGGCGCCCACTGAGCATGGGCAGGGTGCTGCCTGGCCTCCCCAGAGCCTCCACGGGGACTGACGTTTTCTCCTCCGGTGTCTGGTCCACGTCCGCAGGGCCCACGGCAGGGCCTGTGTGGCCAGCCTCCTGCTTTCTGCACTGGGATTCCCACTGGGGTGTTTGTGGTTTATGGACACAAGCTCGGTCGCCAGGACATGAACGATGACTGACCGGCAGCTGAGAGGGGCGGCCACCTGAAATCAGCGTCAATAAACCACTCAGGCCCTTCTCGCCGGCCCAAGGTTCATCAGCTCCTCAGCAGGGGTGGAGCCTTGCTCGCACTGGGGAGGGCGGGGAGCCCTCAGGATCTTAGCCTCGGGAGAAGGGGGCTTGTCCCAAGCTGCCTCAGAGAGCAGCAGTCCCTGGTGGCCCCCAGCCGTCAGGACTGAGATGGGAAAGAGTGTGGGTGCCCCCAGGGGGGCTTTTCTGTAAAGTGACCGGGCCCATGGGGGACGTGAAGTCACGGGTGACTGCAGGCCCCCGTGCGGCCAGGGCACCCATGGGGCCTCTCGGGGAGATCACCGTGGTGCCCGGCTCACAGCCCCCAGGAGGAAGCTACACGTGGGTACAGAGTGCAGGCTGGTGGCACCTTGGGGAGGTGGGGTCCCGTGGGTGGGTGGCCCTCGGAGGGACCTTTGCCGACTGGCAGCGGGCTTCATCCCGGGCGTCCCAGCCAGAGCCGCCAGGACACAGCTGGGGCAGGGCAGAGAGCCTGGCCCGCCCCGTCTGAGGCTTGCAGCCATCGGGGCACCCGGGGGGCGTCTGCTTGGCCCTGGGTGCTGCGTCAGCACAGCCAGGGCTGCGGGGAGGCTCTGCCCTCTGTTCTGGGGGGCGGCTGCCTGGGAACCTCCTGCCTCCAGGCTGACAGCCTTAAGGGGCTGTGGGTCGCCCACGGGGTTCCTGTGGGCGCAAGATGACCCTCGGCTTCCCCGGGGCCCCCCAGAGCCCCTCTTCTCTAAAGTCCTGTCCCCTGCCCTGCCTGCGTCCCCCAGCCTCAGCTCTGCCCCATCCCCGGCAGCAAAACTCAACTCTGCATTTCAACCTGCAGCCCTCTGGTCCCCACACGTGAGATGCTTCCCCTGACATCCCAGGCCTCTGTGGCCTGGCCCCTTGGGCTCTCAGCCGCCGGAGACCCCTGGGCATGGGTGCGACTGTCTCAGGCCCCAAAATAGTTGGGGGGGGCATCACTGGACTCGTGAGCCTGTGACCCTGATGGGCATCCCGGCCAGAAAGCGGTGGGCAGGGTTGGGGGGCACCCGAGATGGGGGTGGGGCAGCTGGCAGGCGCAGGGCGTCTGGGCCGGGCACCACGCACAGCCACCTCCCATTTCTCTCCGTCACCCATTCCTCACCCGGACTCCAGGCCCTCATGTGTAAGAAGCCAAGATAAGGCCAATTTATGGGGTAATCAGTTCAGGCCAAAACAGGCCGGTGGGGCACCTGTCCCCTCCCAGCCCCACTGTGTCTGGGAGGAACCCGGGAGGTAAGCCCGGCCTGGGGGCGGTTGGTGGGCATGGCCCTGGGGTCACGCTGCAGCTCGCTCGTTCACTCATCCGCTCACTCAGCGCTGGAGAAGCACCCAGAGCTGTCAGAAGTCAGAGGTCAGCAAGAGGCCGCACCCACTGCAGAGGTGGGAGGTGGGAGCACAGGGCAGGGCAAGCGGGGCCTGAGGGCGTGACCCGAGGGCAGAGGGCCTGGCAGGGGCCTGGGCACCGGGCCCCAGCAGGAGCCGGCTTCCAAGGCCAGGCCGACTTTGGGGACCAAGCTCACTGCTGGGTGCTGGAGAGACAGGACCGGAGGAGTCCCCTCGTGGCCAGAGGGCCTCACCAAGCCTGTCGGGAGCCCAGAGTGTGTGTGGGGACAGGCGGGCGGTGGGGGGGGGGAGGCCGGGCGCAAGTGCACCCCCCGAGCCCCTGCTTCAGCCCAGCCTCTGGCCTGTGGGGGACACCAGAATCTACGCCCGTGTGGGGACCTCTCCCCACACTGGCCGCTTCGTTTGCCCCCGGCAGCCCTCAGAGATCTGAAGCCGGTCCTCACCCCAGTCCTGGGGGCAGGGGGGCTGTGGCCAGCGGGGGCCTTGGGGGGGCAGGCCTCTCTCCTGCCCCTCTGGCCAAGGACAGCTCCTGTGTCCAGCCCAGGACTCCCAGGTGTCCTGAGGGCTCCGGGACCCCACATCTGAGAGCCGCAACTGGACAGGGGCGGTCGCCGTGGGCCTCGTTCTCTGCCCGGTCTGGCAAGTGAGTCCCAGCCCCGGGGTCACGTGCCGGCCGCCGTGCTCCCCTCACGTGTGCACACACCTGCACGCGCATGCAGACACCTGCACACGTGCGCTCGCACACCCAACCAGGGTGGGTTGGTGAACAGCTCACCCACTCAGGCAAAGCCCACCCTCACACCTGGAGCAGCTGCTCTTCCCTCGTGAAGGTGGAGAGCAAGCAGGTGTGTGGGGACCAGGTGGGCTCCAAATGTGCTGAGATCCCTTGCGGTGAGCCCTGGCCACCACGGCAGATGGCACACCCCTCAGGTGTTCCTGTCCCCTTGCCTCTGGGCACTGACTGTCCACTGAGGAGCCTGGAGGTTCCCAGGAGCCCTTGGGAAGGTGTTCTCAGAGGACCGAGGACGCCTCCTGGAGGCAGCATGTGACTGACCCCGAGTCCCATCTCGCACGGACTGGCCTGCCGCTCACAGAGACTCCTCACCCCCTCGTCAAGCCCCTGGCTGAGGCTCCTCCCCCTTCCTGGAGCACACGGGAGCCCCAGCCCCTTCCTAAGCCCAGGTCCCCTCCGCCCCTGCAGCCACCCCCCAGCTCAGCCTCCTTGTGGCTGCAGGCCTGGCTGCCCCCCGAGCCGGCTGTGGCTCCTCCTGGGGTCTGGCCCAGGCAGCCTGCTCTGGGCACCCACCTCCTAACGCTGAGGGAGGGTCTTCCTCTTGCTGACCTCTGACTTTTGTTGGCTGTCAGTGCTTCTCCTAGTGCTACTGGGGCTGGGCAGCCTCCGGGGGTCCTGGACTACCCGCTGAGGAGTCAGGGGGCCCCTGCCCGGTGGGTGGGGATGAGGTGGGCCGTCCCCCACCAGGGTGGACCGCTGCTCCCAGCCTCGCCAAGCCCAGCATCCCCTCCCCACAGGCTCGTGACTGGGGTCCCATCTCAGGAGGGCTGGGCCCCAAGTCTAGATCAGGTGCACACTGAGGTGTGCTGCGTGCGGCTGGGGCGTGGGGGCAGGGAAGCCACGGGGCGTGGGGGAGAGCCTGCTGTGACCCTGGGGCCAGGATCAGGTGTCAGATGGGGGAGCCCCTGGCTAGGACCCGGGCCCCTCCGGCCCAGCCCTCACCCCCTGCATCCTGGCCTCCAGCCAGGCCTCTGCACAGGCTGGCCCTGTGGTCTGCTGGGACCCCGTACCTACTGGCTGAAACCGCTCCCCGTCCCCCAGGAGACTTCCGGCTCCCCTGGCTGGGTGGGTGCTGCCTTGGAGTTCCTGCCCTACATGTGTAACTGCGGTGCCCCAGCAGACAGTCCCCTGAAACAAGTTCCTGTGGCCAGCCTGGCGCCTGGCCTGCCCTCACCCCTGGCTCAGCCCTTGGGTGCTCCCAGCCCTGACCCCTCACCCCACTCTCTGGACCCAGAGCAGGGAGCTCCCTCCCGGCCCCCAAAGGCTGTAGGTGGGGAGGGATGGGCGGGGGCAGCAGAAGCCCAAGTTTGGGGTGGGCAGCCACACGGATGAGGCAGGTGTTGGGGCGAGGGGCAGGGACTGCTCGGGGAGCGCGTGAGTGAGCTGATCTTGAGTGGGGGGCTCCTGGTAGGGACCCTCCGGGGGGCCCACCCAGGAGCTGAGGTGCCGCCACCTGGAACAGGGCTGGTGAGCAGATCTGTTTCCGGAGGGGCTGCTCCGGCATCTCAGGGGCCACGGGGGTAGGGGAGAGGTTTCACCCAGGCATCCAGCCACACCCCCAGACCTGCCCAGACTACAGAGCCCTACCAGCCCCCAGCCCCACCCCAGGCTCCACCCCAGACCTCTCACTTCTGACTCCCCGCCCTCAGCTGGCTGCCCAGCCTGTCAGGGACAGGACAG